GGGTCTTTTTTTGGGGGGGGGGTGGAGCAGGGGCAGCGTTGTAGAAGCCCCCCAGGAACTCAGCAGCAGTCAGTGGAGTCGCTCTGCACAGCGGGAGGAGCCTGGCGAGGACCCCACCCAGAAATGAAAGTCGCCACCAGGCTGGGGCGGAGGGCGGGCGGGACTCACCGATATCCCTGATAATGAGTCTGTACGTGCCCTGGGCTTCCTCCCCCCAGCAGCGCACGGTGGAGAAGGTCCAGTCAGCGAAGCCGTTGGGATCCCTGCGCGAGGGAGAAGACAAATACCCTTGAGGGCGAGGGAGCCGGCGGGCGCCTGGGGGCGTCTGGCCTTGCCCCAGCGCGCAGACTCGGGCGGGGAGTCCCTGGTGTCAGTGCAGACTGCAGAGAGTGCCCACAGGCCTGACAGCCATGGCTCTGCCCTGGCCGCTGCAGCACGAGGTGGTGGGAGAGGGACAGCTGGGGTGCAGAGCCCAGACGGCTCATCCCGAGGGCGGTGCTGAGTCCTGGCCAGGAACCGGGGCGCTGCGCCTGATGAACCCGCCTGCTCCCCGCGCTGCCTCGCAATGGGCAGGAACTGCTCTGCAGCAGCTTGCGGGGCTCGGAAGGGAGCTCCCACAGCCCTTGGGGACAGACACGCCTGGGCGAGTGAGGAGCTATCCTTGGGCTCAGCGCCCGCATCCACACGCAGCCCCCCGGCCCCCTCATCTCCAGGCCCACAGGCGCTCTCGAGTCCTGCCCCACGCCTTCTTCCCACGGGTGAGCTGCCGCACTGCTTACGAGTCCAGGCTCCTGGCGGTGCCGATCTTGGACACCATGCCGCTGGGGCAGAGGAGTTTGATTTCCAGGTTGCCCGGGGGAGGGTGGGTTATGGTGACGGTCACTGCCACGTGCTCCAGGGTCCTCATGCCAGACAGCGCGAGGTCGCTCGCCGTGACTGGAAAGGAGTCAAGACGTGCAGGCGTCAGCAGGCTGGCCTGTCGGATGCCTGCCGAGCGCTCCCCATGTGCCCCCAGCCTCTCCCACGCTGTGGGCTGCACGCACACCTCCCCCCGACTCTGCCCGCACACGCGGCAAGGCTGCCTCCCATTCGAATGCTGGTGCGCGGGCACCGACGCTGCCACCGGTGTCTCAACTCTCTCGAATGAGCCACCTGCACTGTGGGAAAACGGCCAGGGCGGGGGAGGGCTTCGCTGTTCCCTCCCGCCATCAGCAGAAAGCAGCTGCACCCCTGCTCCGAGGTGCACATTGGCGCAGCAGGGGGGCGCTGCTCTGCTTTGCTGGGGGGCCGGGCTCGGGCCCTGGAGAATCTCTCCCGCAGCCTGAATGCAGGAAGTTTGTCATGATCAGACACACGAGCGCCACCAGGTCGCAGCCACCTCCAGGCCTGGGAGCCACTGCAGATGCGCTTTGCTCCCCCAGCCAAACCTTCCTCTGCACAATCTTCCCAAGCTGCGTCGCTGGGTTTGCAGGGCGATTCCTGCCCGACTGGGCTGTCCCGTGGGGCCCGGGAAATGGAAGGACGGAATGCTCCAGCCTTCCCCCACAGGGATTCAAGTGCCCCGGCTCCGGTACAGCGTGACGCTCCGCGGCACGGCCGGGCTGAGTTCAAGGTGGCCGAGAGGCCGGTTTACAACCAGAATTCCACACGGCCCTGCCTCAGCGACTGCGAATTCCAGAGCAGTGAGAGGAGGGTGCGGATGTAGCGGGTCAGGGCTGCACCGAGAACCTGGCAGTCGTCGGCACTGCAATACTGATCCTTTGCCCTCGCTTGTGCCCAGGAATCTCCAAGCCCTTTGCAAACCCCAGGGAATTACCCTCCCAGCCACCGGGGAGCTGGAGGGATCTGTGCTCCCACTTGAAGCTTGGGGCACAGAAGCACAGGGAGGGTAAATTACATGCTTCCAAGTGGCAAGGGAGGCCAGGCTCCCAGTCCACAGTTCCAGCCATTGGTCAGCACTGCCCCTCCAAGGGAGCGGCTCACTGACTAGGAACCACTCCGCCAGGGAGTCTGACAGCAGCAGATTTCAGCCAGAGTTGGCAGCTGTGTGAATAATTGATTCTCTAGTTTGGGGGGCAACCCCCAAACTCTCAGACCAATGCCGGGTCATTTGGAAACAAAACTGAATGTTTGGCTTTTCTCACGGAAAGAAACACATTTCATTGGACCCCGGAAAAGAAAAGAAAAGAAAACCCACCAGCAGCAACCCCCGAAAAGGAAGGAATTCTTGCTGTTTCCTTTTCGGGTGTTTTTCTTCCTTTTTTGCTGTTTATTTTTAAACAACTCGAGTTGCCTTGCCAAACGAAACACCCGTTTCATCTGGGAATAGCTGACAGCAACAGTTGGACTTTTTCAAAATAATCCATCTTTCCCAGCCACCACTGTCCCCAGCCCGGTGCATTTTGGCCATATTTACTATTGGCCAAGCCGCGTCACGGGCGCTGCGGCTGCTCTTTCAACAGCCCTCCAGCCAGGAAGCGTCTGGCTCATGAGTCCACCCCCATCAGACAGACCCAGGGATTGCCTCACGGACTGGGCTTGGCTGCAGCCACGCAGGCCTCTCGCCTGTGTCCTGGCCCGTTCCTGTCTCCCCAGGCCCAGAGCTGAGCAAGGGCTAAGCCCCCAGTGAGAACCCAGGGCACCTGGGCGGAGAGCAGAGCAGCCGCTTTCCTCCAGACATACTTGGCCTCCCCGAGCCTCTTTTTTCGGCCGTTTCCCAGCATCTTGTTTGCTGCTGCACTTCCCACCCGGAATGCCTTTTAGGGCAAGCGCTCCCAGCTGCAGCAGCGCCCGGTTTTCTCTCCGCGCCGTGCGCTGTGAGGCTCCCCCAGCGGAAAACAAGCCCGACTCCATGTACACTGCTGCTGGGACGGGGCTAGTTTCCCTCTTGCTGTTTTACAGCCTCACTGCAGAGGTTGCCTCTTTCCCGGGGCTGGGCGGCCAGGGCTCTGTGTGTGAATTCAGTGCTCAGGGAGGACATGGGCCCTCCCCTCTCCACTCCCTCTGCACAGCCGGCACAAAATACGCAGGGCACACTCCTGCCAAGGCGCCTCAGGGGGCTTGCAATGGAGGAAATCCCCTGATACTCCAAATTCTCTGCCCGCTGCCCCGCGCCCCAGACCAGGCGCTAGCGCCCAGGACTCGGAGCCTGGAGTGGTTAATCCTAGACAAGGGGGTCACCCTTAGTGCGACTGTGCGGGAAATCAGTCAGCTGGGCCTCGCCCACGGATGGAGGGGTTCAAAGCAGGGGGCTCCCTGCCAGGCAGAGGGGCAGGTGGGCGTCAGAGGCAGCCCCAGGATTCCACGCTGTCTGGCAGGTCAGTCGCTCGGCAGAGGGGCTCCCCATGTCCCCCCAGCGAGAGCGGGGTGCTTTGGGCCTCTCGGAGAGGGGCAAGGGGGATGTTCCTCTGCACCCTGGCGGTCTCACCAGGCTCAACAATGGGATGAATTCCCAGGACCAGTGAGCCAAAGGGTTAATCCAGGGGTGGGGAACCTATGGCCCAGGGACCGGATGCAGCCCTGGCTTTCCTGGATCTGGTCCCCAAGGCTTGGGGCTCCCTCCCCAGCATCGGGGATCCAGACCCTCCCTCGCACCCAGACCCCACACTCCAAGCCTGCTTCCTGACAGCCTCCTCCCACACTGAACTCCTCATTCCTGCCCCCACCCAGCGTGTCGGGGCCACTAAATCTACTAGCCCAGAGGCCACATCAGGGAGGGTACTTTGTTTGTGGGTTTGGGGTTTTTTGCTGCTCACGTTTGCATGGCCCCCGGCCCAAATAAGGGTTCCCAGCCCGGGTTTACTCCCAGGTTCAGCCCCCGCTGGGGAGTCGGGGTGGGGAAGGACAGACCGAAACACGCGGGCCCACGTGGCAGGCGCGGGGGCTCCGGGAATGGGAAGGAAAACAAGCCCCGCTGCTCGGGCCGCACCGCACCAGCCCAACTTCACGGCTGGGCCGCGGCTTCCCACTTGCAGCGCTCCGGAGAGGGGCCTTGCTCGTGTTGACAGTGGCCGGCCAAGTCAGAAGCTGCAATATTACCTAAAATGGTCAAAGGCAGCCGAACAGGTCTGGCTACAACCCAGCCCTGCCGCGACGGGCCCTGGCGTACGCGCTCGCTCACGCCGCCTGCCTTTCCAAAGCCATCCATTTATTCACCTCGGGGGGGGGAGTGGGGGGAGGAGAAACAGCTCAAGCAACAAAAAGTTTCCTCCCAGAACAGCAGCAGCCTCAAAAAGAAAGAGGAGAATCCGGCTTCTTGGGACACTTAACTCTTTCATCGTCCGAAATCCCTGGGCTTGTGCTAGGCCAGCCTGTCCCCTGGGTCATCCCTATAGCCACAGCTATTCCCCCAAGCGGCTCTCCTGCCCCTGCATGGCAGGGCAGGGCAACTGTGCTCCCTGGAGGCCTGTCACCCCTTAGCAAGGCAGCAGCCTACACCAGCGAGAAACGCCCTTCTGAGCCATCAGCTGGGTGTGAGCCTTATGCTGGAACAGCCTTCCTGTCCTCCCTACGTCCCCCATCCAGCTCCTTCCCAAGCGTCGCTCCTGCCATTCCCCTCCTCCCTGCTGCGGGCCTGGGCCCCGAATGCTCCGACTCCTTCCTGGCCCCAAGCTTCTCTCTGCATCTTCTGCCGCCTGCTGAGCCCTTTGCCAGGCACGTTTTGGGGGGGTCTATGACAGTCCTGGAGACACAGTGAGCCCTGTGTCTCCCACTCACAGCCTCACCCACTGGGGCACCCTGGGGGGAGGGGGGCAGGCGTGACTCGGGACCCTTCCACCTTCAGCTCCCACAGGCGACGGCGGCTTTTGGTGGCCATGGCCTAGATGGTGATTTGAGCTGGGGCCCTTGTGACTACACGGCCTCGTACTCCTCTAGGTGGGCGCGCTCGCTGGGGCACGAGGAAGGGGACACGCCGAGCTTACCGTTCCAGGTGACTTCCAGGGCCTGAGGGCCCTGCTGGATGGTCCTGCCCTCCTTTAAAACAGGGCTGCTATACGAGGCCAAGTATGGGACAGACTCCCAGACCTGGGCAAGGAAAGAGGGGGCGCAAGTTAGTCTCCCGCAGCATCCGAGCTCCGACTGCGGAGGGCAGGCCCGCACTACTGGCCTAAGGGCTCCCGACTTCACCCCCAAAGCAGCTGCATAGAGAGGAGGTGCAGCAGGAGTCCTTGCAGCTGGCCCCCAAGTCAGCATCTCACTTGCCCTACAAGGAAGGCCTTGGGCCTTGTCCCCCTTCGGGGCTGATGGGAGAGGATCTGCGGGAGGCCCGGCAGAAAGCGAAGCCGTGTTCTCACAGCACGCGTGTGCGGGGGCGCCTGCCTTTCCTCATCTCTGCTATCCCCCCAAACAGTTCCGCCAGTTTTCCCCCAGGATTTGATGATCGCACATGGCCAGGGCGGCCATCTCCCCGCGGGGCCTGAGTGTCAAGCTGGGCGCCTTTCCTCGCAGGCCTCACCCGTGCGGTGCTGGGACGGAGGGAACCGTTCCGTGACCGACACGAGCCAGCCTAGAACCCGCGCCCCCAGCCCCAGGAACTCTGAGGAGGGGAAGCCCCTGCCCTTTTCTAGCACACACGGGATGGCTGACACCCCTCGGCCGGGCCACCAGGAGCAGGAGGGAGGGAGAAGCTGTTGTGAGCTGGGTTTGCCCATCGGATGGATGGTGGCAGCGTTACCGTGGCGGCGTTGACAAGCCTCCAAGCATTTAGCAGGCCGAAGCCGTGCTCATGGCTGTGGCTGAGGCCGGCCTGGTTAGCATCCCAGACGGTGCGACGATCTTCATACTGAAAAGGGACAAGCGGGAGCCATGTCAGCCGCGGAGGGGGCCCTGCCTCTTGTGGGGCGAACTAACGTCCTGCCATGCAAAGGCAAGAGTGACGAGGCCTGGGGGAACCGGACAGCGCCCTCCCCGCCCTGCTGCACGCTTGCCCTTGGGCCCTGTCTCGCAGGGAACCTGCGGTCGGTCAGAAGAGAGGAGGCTCCGTCCGCCTCACGCTGCCACCTTGGCAGAAACGAGGCTCGGCGGTGACTTGCCACAGCAGCGAGGCGCTGCCCCGGGCCCTGAGAGCGAGCACAGGGCGCCCCTCGCTTCCGCTGAATCCTGGCCCAGCCGGGATCCCTCGCTCTTCCAAAGCAGAACAAACAGCACACAGGACACAAGCGCCTCTGCCCTGAAACATGCCAGCGGGGCCTTTCCTCCCTGCCTGCCCAGGCTGCCGGATTCACAGGGATACACGCGGCACGGCCGTCAGCGCGGGGGCAGCACACACGGGGCCTGGCGCAGCGGCTGTCTCCAACTGTGGGAAAAGCCACCCTGCCCCAAAGCAAGTTTTGTGTGTCTGCATAAAGGACCCCCCCGGCCACTGGCCAAACCCTGCGGCCTCACTCGGATTCACTAGCTCTGCAGTCGCACTGCCCGAGGCAGAACCGAGCCGAAAAGCGAGGACTCAGCGTCGGCAAGAGGGGCTCTTCCCATCTGCCGCTACGACACCGACCCCCCTGACCGCATAGGACATGCCACGGGCAGGCCGGGCCTTTCTGCTGTCACGTGGCAAGGGCTTCAGGCGCCACAGCAAAAACTCCAGCGCGCGGGTCACCTCGGCCCCGCCACGCCCGCCGCACTCTGCCCTGGCTCCCAGCTCTCGCACCAGCCCGGCTCGTCCTGGCAGAGTCAGGAGGGGCTGGAGCAAACGTCACCTGCCTCAGGCCTGTTCCTGGTGAGGCCAGGGGCGGGGAAAAGCAGCCGCAGGCGGACGAGGGGCGACCTCGCGCCTCACCTTGGTGGCTGTGAAGACGATGATGTGCTGGACGTCGCGCCAGGTGAGGCACGGGCGCACCTGGAGCATCAAGGCGATCATGCCGGCCGCGATGGGGGCGGCGGCTGAGGTCCCCGTGTGGCCCTCCGTGCAGCCGGTGCCTTTCTGCAAATCCCAGTCTGTCGTCACCTTGGAAGAAAGCGCCACGGAGAGGTCTCCTGTCAGAGGCAGGCCGCCTAGTGCTTTGAGTGTGGGCGTGCAGGGGTCCCCCCACGCCCGGGGACAGCACCAGCCGATGGAGGCTACCCCTGGCTCGGGCACAGCCAAGAACAAAAGCCCTGGGTGCAGCCTGGCCCCCGTGAATGCCCAGGCTGGTTTGCTCACAGCTCAAGCTGAACCTCAGCCAAGCAGCGGGGGCTGCCGAGAAAAAGGTTTTGGGGCTTTCTCACATGATGCCAGTCCCAGCCGGGAAGGCGCCCCCCCCGCGAGGGGCCAGACTTCCAGGCCGGGGTTGAAGGCACAGGGTGCGGGGTGCCTGGCTGGAACCCCACCCGCTGCTCATACAGGGACGGCTCCCAGCACATCCTGGCCAGGCCTGCCGCACTGCGCTCACCACGCCCCAAGTGGCGCCCGGCCCCTCACGGGCGAGATGAGAGACAAGGGACCCTGCAGTGCAGCTGGAAAGGGGAGGGAACGGAGCAGCGTCTGGGGAGACCAACTTCAGCGCCACAGGAGCCTGGTCTGACAAGGAGCCGGGTCACTGAAAAGCCAGGGGCACAACCGCTCCGTGGGCTATTCTTCCACAGGGCCCGGCGCTCCTTTTATGGCACCTGCCTGGCTCCCAACACCACCGTCCGTGAGCCCCTCCTACGCTGTATTTATCCGCCCGTCGCCCCGGGCGGCAGGGCAGGGCACCCAGCCAGTGGGACAGCTGGGACACAGAGAGATTTGCCCAAGGTCATGCAGGAGGCCTGTGGCAAAGCAGGGACTGGCCCTCTCAGCGCCCAGCTTCTAGGCTAATGCCAGGCTTGCTAGAACTGCCCGCCTCCGTGTGGTGTGTCGCTCCACGGCAGCCCCCAGGGCATGGAGTCGTCATGGGCTCCTCGTAGCACTCAGCTGGGATTTTCAAAGCTGACTCTCAATGGGAAGTCGACTCCTAACTCCCCTAGGACTCGGAGCGCCCCAGCTACGTGGGGCAAGGTGCTGTACAGCCAGGAAGGAACGTCTGTGCTGTCCTTGAATACATTAAGGCTATGTCTACACTGGCAGGTCGTTGTACCAGAAAGATGCAAATGAGGCTAAGTGTGGAATATCGCCGAGCCTCATTTGCATACCTAAAATAATCAGCGTAGCAGCATTGCACAAGAGGGTTTTTCTTGCACAAGAAGGGGCCGTGTAGACAGCTCCTTCTGGTGCAAGAGCCTCTTCCGCAAAAGTGGCAGCTCATTAGGTATGCAAATGAGACTCGGCGATATTCCACGTATTTGCATATTCCTGGCGCAAGAAGCCGCCAGTGTAGACCTAGCCCAAGTGATTCTAAGGCCAGAGGGGGGGCCTGTCGATGCAGGTGGGAGGGACAAAAGGGGCAAGTGCCCAGGGGCCCGGCAATTTGAAAGGGCCCCGCACCCCGGTCGCTGCCGCCGTAGCCCTGTGGAAAAGCACCGCTTGATGGACCGACGCTTTTGATATGCCCCCATGTGCAGAATGAATTTTCTTATGTGCACTAGCAAGAGAAACATGTGCTGCTTGCTGTGGGCTCTCTGAGTATCTCCTGCCCACGTGCTCAGCTCACGGGGAGCAGTGCCCATGCGGGTTCTGGGGTGAGGTTACTTGGCCCTGGAACATGCACGGGGAGTTTCAAAAGTGTCCTTCAGTCCAGGCTTGGCCCAGAGCCGGCTGGCCGGGTCCAGAAACGGGAGGGAGCAGAGCTGGGGCTGGCTGGACCAACAGCCTCTGGCGGGGGAGGGTGGCAGAACTGGGGGGGCTCTCTGAGCCAGGGGGGATTGTGGTTCCGGCTGAGGGAGGGGCGCAGGAGGCCCATTGATTTCTGCCCTGGGCTCTCAAATGGCTGTCATGTGGCCATGTCGCCTGACCCCCCGGACTCACCTAGGCCCCGCAATAATGCCTCGACATTGGGAAAAGCCCAGTCCTGACTGATAAATGGCCATGCTGGAGAACCCATGGCAGCCCCTCGTGCATTGCACCAGGGGTTAATCACACTCACTGCTAGTGAACAATGGTGCTTTCTTTCCAGCCTGAATGGGTCTCACTTTGACTTCCAGCCACTGGGCCGCCTTCTACCTTCCTCTGCTGGGGCCCCGTGTTCAGTATTCGTTCCCTGTGTCGCTTCTTCTAGACTGTGATCAAGTCTCCCCCAGCCTCCTCTGGCTGCAAACTCCCACCCGCCCACAGGCCCTCCGCAGTGGCTGTGGCCAGAGGAAGGGATGACCTCACCGTGATCCCCGCTGATTAAATACTCCAGCGCTTACGGCATTTACGGCATGTTTCAAGCTGCCAGTAGCAGATTTTCCCCTTCCCACTCAGGTAACCAGCCCAGCCAGGCTCCCCAGCCCAAATGCTCCGTCTCCCCCCAGGGTGATCAGAGGCATGAGAGCGCCTGGAAAGCATGTGGGCGGGGAGACTGCGTTGAGCATCGTGATCCCCGCTGATTAAATACTCCAGCGCTTACGGCATTTACGGCATGTTTCAAGCTGCCAGTAGCAGATTTTCCCCTTCCCACTCAGGTAACCAGCCCAGCCAGGCTCCCCAGCCCAAATGCTCCGTCTCCCCCCAGGGTGATCAGAGGCATGAGAGCGCCTGGAAAGCATGTGGGCGGGGAGACTGCGTTGAGCATCTGGACAAAGGGCCATCGGGGTGGGAATGGGAGCACAAACCAGCCGGGACAGAGGGCAGGCACATGCCCCCTAGCGGGGCGGCTCCCCCCAGCAGCTGCCCGCTGCACTGGCCCTCCCGCAGGAAGGGAGCTATTTCAAGGGCCCAAAACGGGAGGGTGGCTGCAGACAGTAGCTCGCAGTCACCCCCCTTTTCACACACACGCTAGGGCTCGCGGCAGCAGGACAAATGATGCTTTGCACGTGTACAGCGGCTGCTTTGGAGAGTCCCACGCCCTGTGCCAAGACGGGTGAACACTGTCCCCAGCGCAAGCTCAGAGGTCCAGGGAGGTGACTCGACTTAGCTCTGCTGACTCCTGCCCCGCACAGACAGGGGTAGTGACAAGAGTAAAAAACGGCCCAAGGGTTCTCCTTCCTCTCGCTGCACTTGGACAGAGTTCTCCGGTGCCCAGGCACTGGGAGCCCCATGGGGATGCTGCAATGACTCCGACCCTGGGAAGTGCAAGTGCAGTCCCCAGGGTTGTTTGTTCTCTCTAACTTTTTTAATTCCCTGTGCAGAATAAATTTTGTTCTGTGCACCAAGATGTGCACCACCTGTAGCCACACACGGTGCCAGCGGTGGGTGCTCTGCTAATCAGGCTGGGCAGCATTTGACTCTCCTGGGTGGCTACTCAATGGCTCAGCTTCCAGGGAACGCTGGTCCCTATAACTCCATGTAGGCTGGGGCATGACCTGTTCATCTCCCCGGCCCGACCACAGGAAACACCAGCAGCCTCCTCTCCAGCCGCCTGTGGACTTGCTGCATGCGGGGGCTATTTGTTCTTTGTGGCTGCTGAGCCCATGCCAAGATGCAGCCGGGCAGGCCAAGCTGCCGGAAGGTCTGTCGTTCTCACGCCCAGCCAGAAATGGAACACCACCAGCGGGACACGGTTCAGTAACTGGAACGGTTCCCTGGCCACTTAACCCACTGGCTTACGCAGAAAAGGAGCCCGGGGTGGCCTGGCCACTGCCACAAGCAGCTGGTAGGCACTGGTGATGGGGAGAGGAAGGGGCGCCGGGCTCAGGAGAGGTCTGACCGGGACAGAGGGCCCAGCCACTGGAGAGACTAACGCTCAGGAGACCCGCTGCCCCCAGGACAGTCCGGCTCGGCTAGTGGGACACAGCCCTTCCCCCTCCTCTGTCTCAGGCAGCCCTTTGCAAAGCTCGACTGGCATAAGGAGAGGGGAGGGACTGGCCCAGCGTGGCGCAGGGAGAGAGAAGCAATGGGGCTAGGGGTGGCACCCTCACATCTGGGCTCCTCTGCTGCCTCTCCCTGGGGCTGGGAGCCAGCGCCCCGGGAGCCGAGGCAGAGCCCTGTGTGGATTCAGAGCGGTGAGGCTGGGTGCCGTGGGGCCCACCCCGGTGCAGTGGCCCAGCTGGGCCTGGAGCTGAAGAGCTGCCTTGGTGACCAACCCCCGCAGCAGTGGCAATGCAGAGCAGCTCGCTCTGCGGAGAGCGCAGCCTGGGCCTGATGCTTACAGCAGCCGGGCGACTGGCTGCACAGGCTGGCGCCCAGGCTCCAAGGCACAGGCGTGCGGGACTGCTCCTCCCCGCCCCCAGGCTGCGCTCCCGGGCACACCAGCCGGGGATGGCGGCTCCTCTCCAAGTGGCCCCGGCGGGGGCCGAGCGGCAGGGCAGTGGCTGGTGACACTTGCCCACGAAGTCAGGGACGTACGGAGCAGGACACAGCGTGGGCACCCGCAGCACAGCCCTTCCTTCCCGCAGCTCTCAACTGAGGGCGGGGGAGCGTGGGTTCCAGGGGGCGACCGCCCAGCCCCCCACTGCTAAGAGGGACAAATGCAGCTGCCAGCCCCCAGCGCGCTGGGCTGGATTCACACTGGCCATGTCACAAGCACCGCTCTGGTCTGGTGGCTGCCCCGCCCCGCCCCACCTCACATCACTGCCCCCTCTGCTGCATGAGCAACACCATTGCCTGCCTCCTCTCGGGCCTGCCCTCGCCCCCCAGGGCAGAGCTGCTAGCGGCTTGCACCCAGCAGTTCACTTCTCCAGCCCCCGAGAGCACCAGGGCAGCTGGTTTTTCTCCGGGCTGCCATGGGTGATTCTCCCGGCTCCGCGCCTGGCTTGAGGAGGCTTTTCATGTATTCCCCAGCCAGCAAGCACGGGAACTTGCTAAGCCCTTTGGCTGCCCTTCCGCCCCCCGTGAGCGGAGTGAAGCTCTCGCCCGAGGCTCGGCAGCACTTGTACCACTAACCCGCGGACACCACCCAGCCAGCCAGGCACCCTCCCGCCCCAAGAGGCAGGGGGAGTCCCCCGCCTGCTCCCGGGAAGCACTCGGGCCACTTTGGCTCAGCCTCTCGGCTACCGAATCCTGCAGCCACGGGACTTAAAACGGGCAGGCGCATCAGAATAGCTGCAGCCACTTGCACCCAGCCCTACGGGACATTTGCTCAGCTTTTTGCAAGGCACTACCTTTGCCCACAGACCCTCCCTCACCTGGACACGCCAACCACCACCTCCCCTCCCCTCCCCATCCCACGGTCAGACATGGATTCCCGCCCTCCAAGGCCACAGGACTGCTCGAGCACTGCCCCGTGGACAGTGGTGCAGCGACGGAACCCTGACCATGAACGCTGCACCTCTTCCAACGAGCCGGATACGATTTCTTCTTAAAACACAGAGGAAGAGAAAGGCCCCAGCGCAAAGAATGGTGCCCTGGCAGGGCATGAAGAAAAACTGAATTCAGGCCACTTTAATTCTGAATAAAAACCTCCACAAAGGGGCTCAGTGCAGTTTAACTCATCTACTTTAACTTCACACCTTCAGTTAATTTGGATTAACTTTCTTAAGTGTGCCAGAGTGTAAAAACCCCAAGTTACTTAAATGCAGCTATTGGTCAGGAGAGAGGAAAAGCAGCCACTGTGCCTGGTAGAAATACAACTATGAGGCCAAGTTCTGCTGTGTTGGTTACAGCAATGTGACCTGAGACGAGATTTATTCTGCCTGTACATGGGTGTAGCCAAGCAAAATTTGACCTTTTTAAAAAGTGTCTTCTTCGATTAAATACAAGTAAACAAGTGAGCCTTAAAAAAGAGTCACTTGAGAAGTCTCCAAATGGTACATCATTCCGTGCTTCATCATGCCATGAAATCACTTAATTAAAACTTGGTTTGGGTCAAAACCCAGGGCAAGCAGCATAAACTTTTGTTCCTCTCCGCTTGCAGTGGGACGTCAGGGCACCCTCCAGTGCCAAGAACTGTACTTTTTTGTGTTGACTTTTATGTTTTGCTCCAAAGCATTTTGTCAGCGGCTAACAGCTGCAATTTGCACTAAGATACTGTATGTTATTAAAAAAACCCAGCAAGCCATGCAAACGTCAGTCGGAGATGCAATTCATGCCAGAGACCATATTAAATTCTTCCCATTAACGGAAATGGCAGAACATTTATAGTCTGAAAACTAGAGGGATGTCAAAAACATTAAGTCTGATACTATTAAAGGACAATGAAAAAGCACAAGAGCAGAGAATATTCTCTGTAGACGGGGACGTGTTTACTGAACATACCCTACAGAAAGGCACAGGCTCACTGGAGTAGTGATCATGTTACTGAAAAGAGAGGACAGAGTCTGTGTCTTGTGTAACTCCTGGGCTGTGCCAGGCAGCCGATTGACTCTCAGAGGGGAGAGAAGGGCCTGTCTGATCATCACACGAGGCCATTCTTTAAGGCAAAGAGGCATGTCAGACTTTCCACAATTAGCTCACAGATCTCAGGTTGGAGGAAGCGGGACATGAAAGATGAAAACTACCACACGCTCCAAGATGAAAGGGAAAGCAGAGTTCCTCGCTGACTAGCGTCTCTTCTTCTCGAGCACCAGTGGTGCTCAAGCCAGCATGAATTAATCCAAGTTAATTTGAAAAGGAAAATGTAAACTCCATTACAAGTTTTCTTTCTTTTGTAGCAGCATTCTCTTAGATGGGGATGTGGGCTTTTCCAGCTGGGGAACACTGATTCCTAGTACCAGCCCCTTGGTTTTCAGAGATGAAGGGAACCAGACTTAAGAGAGCTCGTTCACTTCTCAGCCCCCAAACTGAGTGGCTAGCGAGCTTGCACTCTCATCGTGGCCCCCAGCCGCAGCAAGGTCCCCGTTTCCATTTGGAGACCCTGTCATTCCCCCTCGTTGCTCCCATTAGCTAGCATAGCCTGCAAAGCAGCTTACTGAGGCAGCTGCTCCAGAGCTAGGGACTCGTGAGCGCCCTTGAGTGCAGAACTGCCACCAAAACTGAGCCCTGGAACCCGACAGATCAGTTCCGATGGCGGTGGTTCCTTGTAAGGAGCGCGGGATGGCTCCTGTGGATCAGAGAGAGGGAGGCTCTCTCCTACGTACGCTATGCTGGAAATACCCTGAGATTTCCCCAGGCGGCTCCCCCAGGGTAATCTCCTCCCTCCCACCTGCTTGTATTGAAGAGCAGCCACCAGTAAAACCAAGCCACCGTGGAACTGCCCCAGCCACGCAGGCCCAAAGGACGAGCCCGCAGCGTTGGGAGAAGCATGTTTCCACGGGAAGCCCTGCAAGCTCTTGGCTTCCTGCCTCCACAGCAGGGTCTACGCACTCCCCTCCGTTTGATTCTGCACTCCAGAAAAGCGCCGGCGAGCTCTAGCACTGTCGAGCCTGGCGCAGCAGCGTGAGCGCCCATCGCACACGCGGCTGGGCGGGTCTCTCACCCTGCTGGGGAAAGGCGGCTGGCGGAGGGCAGAAGCCCAGCCAGGCTAGGAGGGTGGGCAGGGAAGACGTTGCCTGAGGCATTACTCACAATGCTCCGCATCGTCTTATCCCCGCCGCTGAAGGTCACTGCCAGCATGGAGGCGCACTCCTCCGCGTAGAAGGGTCTGTTCCCCTCCTCGTCCACCGCGCCTGGGGGAAAGCGAAGGAGACATCACGCTCCAGGGGCCGCTCCCCCCCCGGGGCGGCCGCTGGACTTGTCACGCGGAGGAGGCGGCCATGGCGCGCTCCTGGCAGAGACGGCCTCGCGTATCGACACACCACCCGCCTGGGCGTGGCGGCCCCCAGAGGAGCAGGGCACCAGCTACAATGTGGCCCGGAACGGACTTCGCCCACACACGTCTCACCCTCTCGGCCACCCTGCCCAGGGCCCCGGGACAGGCAGGGCCACGCCGCCCTCGGCCCTCGCCAGGCTTCGGTGGGAGCAGCGGGCCGGCTCCTCGGAGCGTAATGCTCTATTGGCTGTTCCAAACAGCTCCCGGGCACCCTCTTTGGGCCAGTTAGCCCATGGCCCCGTGAAGACTGGGGCCCAGACGGGAATGGGGGGCTCCCAGCTGAGTTCCATGGGTAGGAGCAGGCAGGCTCTCACGGTGCTGGGAGGCAATGCGGATTGCCAGCAAGCCACAGCCGGGAACCTGCTGGCAGCCAAGAAGGGGGGAGGAGATGGGCCCAGGAGGGGATCCCTCATGACATGGACAATCCCGAATGCTCCTGAATTCTGAGCAGTGTTCAGCAGCCTGAAGACAGACTCACCCAAAGCCTGACACTGTAAGTTACCTTCCAGCTTTCGCCAGCCACTAGCTGGCACATGCCCGCACACAATACGGGCAAGTGTAAACAGCCTTCTCGGCCAGCGCACAGCAAACGTCAACTCAAGCAATTTCCTTTCCCTCCCTAGATGGTCTCTGCTCCACGCATCCGTCCCCGTGAAACACGGTTCTCACGTTCCGGGCACTAGCCCCCAGCGGCCAGGCTAGACTGTAACACGGCTATCTCCCACGCACGCTGCCTGTCGTGGGACACGGGCCCTGTGCGTTCGGCCATCACAAGGTGTGTTGCACGGCTACGTAGATACTAGGGATGTTAAATAGCGGTTCACTGAATAGTCAAGTAGCCTCATGAATTCTTATCGGTTAGTCGACTGTTCTCTAGTCCCCGGGGGCGGGACCGGCAGCAGTGCAGGGTGCCAGCTGGGAGCTCCTCTCCGAAGGGAGCCAGTTTAAAAACGAGCTCCTCTTGGGACCGGCTGGCCCGCCGCCCCGCCCCCTAAAAACTTT